CTTTTAACATGATTGATTCGATTATATCGCGATGCAAAACTGACGATATATCACGATATATAATTTCTAATATCGCCCAGTCCTAATCATGATTATGTAAAGTTTTTGAAAATGTTTTTGAATTTTATCGATTTTATGTTTATAAATTTAGAACTTGAAACGATAGAATTTATTTTTTATTACTGTGTAAATCCTAATTGTCTTTTTTTTTAAGTGCTTAAAAGGTGCTTATTTTTGTTTTAAAAAATCTGGTTATGCACCCTGAAAATGCTTGACTAATTTTCATTCTTATTTTTTAACTAATGAATGTTAAAGGAAGGTTTTTTTCTCCCTTTCAAAATGCATTTGTGTGCTAAAATGTATACTGATAAGCTGTGACTCTTATCCAGTGCTGATTGTGCTATGGAAAAAATCCGTATTTCCAGATTTTTCGCTAACAGTGATCCGGAAGTTTCCAGAGATCGAAGGTCCAGGCGTTTCAAAAAATCATTGATCACAGAAGTTTCCGGAAATCAAATTTTCAAAGGTGGAACTTAAAAACACAGTTTATTTTATTTGTTTGTAAGTGAGAGCCAGATTCTTATAACTTATATTTATGATTAATATTCATTTTTTATCAGTAAATAGTTATTATAATCATTAACTCAAGAAAGAAAGACATATTTGTAAATTTTAATTACTTCTCCAAGTCATCGTAGGTATGTGTAAATGGTATAGGTATATGTAAAATTTTAAATATATTTTAAGTAAACTAAGAAATATTGAGAAAAAGGAAAAAAAACTTGTTTTAATTTTTTTCTAATTTTTCAATTTAACTTATCTAAAATAAGCTCTATTTTAGTATGAAATAATTAAAATAATAAAGAGAAACTTTAAATTAATGTGTATGGGTTATTTGTTCTTAAAGTATACTTTCACCAGCTTGTGTGTACCTTATTTCCACATTTCTGAAATGATCTAATATCAGATATTCCTGAACATGAAATTCTCTTTATTCGCAACTCGAGAAGTGATTAGTAGGATTTCTCTGATCGCACATTTCAGGAATAAACTCAACGAAAATTGAACTTAATGAGAAAAAGAAAATTCTGAAAAAATTTCATTTTCATGATATTAAGCAGCGTGGTCCACCATTGCAGCGCATACCATGGCGAGGCATGCACACTGTCTGTTTTTGAACAGGTTTAGGTTCGGAAAATTTTTAAAAAATTTATTAAAAATATATGACATTTATTGAATACTGTAAAACCTTACTTTACAGATTAAGATTTAAAATTATTAAAAAATAAAGTTTATTATTTTCGAATTTTGCTTTTAATGTGATTATCCGTCTTTGTGCATTTTCCATTTGAAGCTTTGGAACACAATTTAGACTTTTGTTTTATTAGACAGTAATACCTGGATGAATGCATACAGGTTACCTGTTATGCTTTCATTTTCTTTCATTTCTTTTGCCTTCAACTTATAATTTTGGTGTTTGAAATTTACTTATTTGTATTCTTTAATTGTATTTATAGATAAATTTTGGGCATATGCTGCTTCAGCACTATCTGGAGTTTGACATGGATTTTAATTTCTATTCAGCCTTTACATATCATTTTTATAGTTTTTTACGTAATTACAGATTTAACAATATTATATTTATGTGAGCTAATGAACCTCTCACTTTACAAGGAAACACTTTTTGTAACTTAGCAGCCTTCTATGTATAAGCCAATAAAACAAGCTTGGTGGTCAATTAACTGATAGACATGATCAGAAATTAACATTTGAAAACTATATGCACATCAGAATTTAAAATAGATTTCACACATTTTAATTTCAAAAAAATGGACGCCTCAAAATTTTATAAGGTATTTTTCTGACTTATTGTTTTTGAAATCAGAGCAGGAAAAGAAAAATCATTTTTAAATTGATGTCCAACCTTATCTTTTATTAAAAAGAGAGAACCTTTGAAATTAATTTGTTATTTTAGATTCTATATTTGAACTTGTGTATTTATCTACCATACAGAAATATTATCCTTGATTTTCTACATACTTAATTTATTTTATGATATCTCTTGATCAAGTATAGTTCATACTAAAAATTATGTAGATTGTGGCATATAAACTGCTAAAAAAGATTATTATTGTAACTCATATTAATAGTTAATTTTTTTTTTTTTTACTAGTGAGCTTTACTCTTTTGCTATTAATAAATTTTTTCGTTTTAATTAGGGTCGTCAATTTGAGCAGCTCAGAAGGACATATTAATAAGGTGCCTAGTAAAGCTTTGCAGGAAAAGTTTTTGTCAAAATCCTTAACAGAGGATGAACTTTGTAGCTTAATGACACAGTTTGTTGAGTAAGGTGTTAATTTTCTTTTAAATTATGTTATTCTGCCTTAAATTTTTTTACTGATATTATTCTAATTATTTTAATCATTTGCTTTTTCTTATTGATTTATTTAGTTTCAAGATTGAACCAAATTATAATTCTTCAATTAAAATGTCTGGTTTTTCAGCTTCTTTTCCTCATAATTCAAATTTTGATTTATTTAAGTTTAGAGAAGTTGCATAACATACGAGTACAACTATTTCAAATTTAATTTGATACTTACTCCAAATTTAAAGGATTTTTAACCAAGTGCAGGGATGACATTTGCTCTAATTTCTTCAGAAGATTTTACAAAATGATAGATAAATTATGAACCAACCGTCAGAATTTCTTTTCTTTTTTTTCATTTTGTCAAAATTTAAAAAGATTTACTGCAAGATAACTAGAATAAAGTGGTGTTGCATTTGAACTTTTGAAATGTTTGGTGGTTTGCAAGACAGCTTTAAGTCAAATTTTCTAAACATTAAAACATAAATTTTACTACTTCTAAAAAAATATTTAGCTACAAAATTCTTGAAAAGTAGGAGTGCCAAAAAAAGTGTAATTTCAACTTTTCATTCCATTTAACTATTATCTATTTTCTTTCCTTAAATCTTCATATATTAGTTTTTGTTCATTTTATACATAGATACTTTGGTTGAACTTTCTCAAGTAAAATGGCATTTAAATATATAAAACCAATAACAAAATTGTATTTCTTTTGCTATGCTTGCAAATAATCAAAAATTTAAATTTGATATGGCACCCAAGTTGAAAGTTTGCAACACTGGACTCAAAAGTTTCATCATCACTGCAATTAAGGTTATTTGTTGAGCATGTTTTAGTTTCTTCTTACATGGAAGTAAACAATGTTCAATTGTTGTGCATTTACTCCTACTGGTGTCATACTTAAAAAGAAAATTCTCAAAAAATATCAAAAAACAAATGACAAGATCATTTTTCCTCTCCATAACAGCCACTAATTCTGTCATAATTTGTTTGCAATTTGATCTTTGGAAAAAATCAAATTGCATCCTTTTAAAGTAGTATTAAACTTATATTTTCAACATTATATGTTTTGGAATAAGTTATATTTTATTTATGTTTTATGGAATTTTTTCAGAGATGCAAAAGCTGGTATTCATAAACAAAATGGCTGGTGTGGTTCTGCATACCAAATGTCAAAAGTTGGACTGACAGCTCTAACATTTTTGCAGCATCGTAAATTTTCAGAAGAACCTGAAAAAGATATTATCATAAATGCTGTAAGTTTTGAAATTAATTTAATTATTTGTTTATATATTTGTTTAATTTATTATTGTAAAAAACTCTTGTAATGACTATAATAATGAAAGAAATATATAATGAAATTTCAAAAACAATATATAAGTTTTGAATTTTTGATGTCATTAAATCACTTATTATAAGAAAAGGCATGTTTATATATTCTGTATTTTTAACTGAGTTTGATTTTAGTGATTTTCCTTTCAATTTTAATTCCTTGCTGGTTTTTTAATCGTTTTGTTAATAATAAAAATTTTTTTAACCTGACAGCGATTTGCAGTTATATTTTGATTTTTAAATGCTTATCTATTAGTTTGGTTATTTAGCTTGAAAATGTTTTTTTCCCTTCTGAAATACTTTTTAACGGTAAGAAGTGAGTCTCCTTTTTTGAAAATTAGTCACTTTTAGTCCTCTTTTTTTGATTTGCCACCTTTTTGCAGATTTTTAGTAATAAAAATTTTATTTTTTTATATGAGTTGTCACTTTGCAAGCATATCAATTTTAAGATGCTGGCAATAAAGTTTCCTTTCATGGCAAATAACTTTGTATTTTCTTACTTTCCTATGCATATTAACTGAAAGGCAATTAATACTAATTTGGAAATTGCAACTTTTATATTTTATATAATGCTGAAGTTAAAACTTTATAAAAAATTTTTAACTAAAGTAAACTAACAGATAATAACTTTTTTGATGACTAGCCAGCAAGTAATAAAGACTGTAAAGAAATCCAATTTAAACTTAATCTTACTCTTCTGAAGCATATAGTTACTTGGTGGCTTTCATTAGGCCTGCAGCTAGTAGACTTTTAGAACAATGGAAGGTGTGTGTAATTTTTTTTTCTGAAACATATTCTTTCGAATATGTCTGATTTAATTCAAAATAACTCCTGCAAAAATTTAGTTGAGTGTACATATTTATAAAATCCTTTTGTCCAAAGATAATTCTATGAAAAAATACCTTTTTTTGTCAATGTTTAAAGTTTTTTATTACTGTATTTAATATTAGCCAAAAATAATTTTAAATTCTGAAGTATACAAATTTTTACATCATTTTAAAGACTAATTTTACATAGCAAAACACAAATTTGGAATAAAATCAGTCGAATTTTTGGTTCCTAAGAAATCAAATTTTAAAAACGTTTAATTTCTAATTTATTTCCTCTCATAAACAACCTGTATTATGAAAATTCTTGTGTCCTTTAATGGGGTGTACCTTGAAAAATTCTGTTTTAGAAAAAAATTAAAGATTTCTCTAATAAAGAAGTTTTTACACTAGTAAATATTCTTCAATTTGACTCAATTGTAGTTAGTGAAGATGTTCTGAAATAAAGCTCTAAACCATCAATGGCAGATATAAAACTGTCTTTATCTAAAGCTGCAAAACATACTATTAAGAAAAAACATTCATTCAAATCAAATTTATCAGTATAAGAATTCAGATTTTAAATTTAAGTAAAGGGAAGAAACAAAGAAGTTGTAGAGTTCCTAAAACGATGGATTTTAATTTTCCTGGAGATATTTTACTTGATGAGTAGAAACTGCTTTAATTGGGGGGAAATGTCAAGGAAGATACCTATTGGCATAAATATATTTCTTAAAAAGACTCTTCTAGGTATTACAAATTTTAAAATGTTAGGAAAATAGTCAAATCAGTTCTTACTCTGTAATGGCAACGTGGATAGAGAGCAGAGATTTTTAGTTTCAAAGTTGGAAAACTGCAATGACAGAAAGATATTTGAAGGCAGTTTTGTTTAAAAAAAATACTTTAAAAGAGTACTTTAACTCTCCTCATTTTATCAAGATAATCATCAATGTTCAATAATCAATTTTCATCAAAATAATGGAAGAAAAAAAGAGGCAGAGAAACAGGAAGTAGATCTGGTGTGGGAATTGCAAAAAATAAAGAAAAGAAAAAACCTTTTGAGATGGAGATTATTGAATTAAAAGAAAAGAATCAGATGCACAATGAAAAAAAAAATATATAGCTAATTGTGGAAAGCTATTTGAAAGGATTAAAGCTACGATAATGTGTGGCAAGAATATAAAATATGAAGAAAAGGAAAGGCTACAGAAGTGAATAAAATAGAAAAGAGTCTTAAAAAGAGAAAATTATTACTTGAAATAAAAATCAGCAGTCGTTACGTATTTTTCTTCTAAAAAGCTGANTTTTTTTTTTTTTTTTTTTTTTTTTTTTTTTTTTTTTTTTTTTTGTCATATCCAGCAGCTTGCAACCATTTATTTTTTATTTAGGTTAAGTAATTGTTATTGGGGAAAAAAAAAGATAAATATTGAAAAATTTGTCTAGGACCTAAACTGGTTTTAAACTGCTTGTTTTGTTCAGGGACTTCTCACAAACAATTTATTTTTATTTTATTTCTTCATAAACTTCTCACTGTATAATCTGATAATCTTCAAGGATAGGAAACTTGAAAAAGTGCAATGTTGAAATTTTTAGCAACTTTCACTTGTATTTGTGCTTGAATTACAGTCAAAACGCAATACTGTAACTGGTGGAAGATTGAGTTTCGGTGATTAGTTTAGTCGGGTGAATAAAAAAACTACCTATTGTGATTTTTAAAAATAAGTCACCTTTTAGGGTTTTTTTTTTTACGTAAATTAACCATTTTTAATAATTTTTAAAGTTTTCATCCCACTCTGTTTTGACCAAAAATCAGGGCATTAATATATATGAAGAAATAGTGCTTGAAAATAATCTTTTTCAAAACAATTTATTAGCAAAATTTCTAAATCAATTTTATTTTTATCAGGTTAAGAAGTTTTCATGCTTAAATTGAAAAATTTATATATTTCATGAATTCTTCATTAAGCCTTGACAGTGTTTTTATTCATATTTGTATTTTTTTTTATTTATTTATTTACGTTTTATCATTTATGACAATTATAAATTTTAATATCCCTAAAAAATAGATCAAAAACTTAAATAATTGTTAACTTAAGAAACAAAAATATTAAATTTGGATTATTAGAATCATATATATGTTTATTATAAATCAAGTATAATTTCAAAGTTTCTTATACTATGAGTTAATGCATTTTTGTGTTATGAACATGTCTTTTATGAATGTTTTATGTTGTGAGTATATATTACATATTTTTATCATTGTTATTTATATTTTATAGGTTCATCCAGGCTATGTAAACACAGATATGACTAGTCACAGAGGCCCTTTAATACCAGATCAAGGTATATAAATTAAGGAAATTAATAAAAATTTAGTATGTATATCTATACATTTCTAGTTTTGTTTTGAATTATATAACTTAAAATTCAAGCTCATTTTTTTTATTTCATGTTGTACAAAGAGGAACTTTTTGTCTCACAGTGTTTAGAATTGTGACAAAACATAATTTCTTTTGTTTAATTTTTTAATGTGTGTAATTTACACAATTTAATGTATCAAACTTTTTAAATTTTGTGCAATTTAATAATAATCCAAAGTATTTTTTACATTATCAAAGCTTATCCTGATTAAATGAAATAAATCCTAAATCTAGTCTTCATAATCAGCAAATAAAGTATTTTGAATTTATATTATTCTTTTTTATTCATTGCATAAAAAAAAATATTATAGTAAGATTATGATTAGTAAATATTAATTCAATACTATAAACTACTTAAATGTTTATTTAATTTTTATCATTGTATTAAGCACTGTGTTCTAGATTTAATTCATTTAGAGGCACAATATTGCAAACAAAAATGAAGTATTAGTATCTTAATATTATATTGCTACAATCATATCATTGGTCATAAATTCGTGGAGCCTTGATCTTCATGCCCCTCTTGGTCCAGAACAGATTGTTACTGGACAGCTTTATTTTGCTTAATTTTGTACTAAACCTTTAAAGATAACCTCATTCAATTTATAGTATAAAAATTAATACATTGAAGTATTATGGTCTATAAAGATATGCTTTTTTTTCAGTCTTTGCAACAAATAATTCAGATCTTTAAAATAGCAAGGAAACATAAATCTTTTTTTTTTTTTTTTGTGAAAATTTCTAAATTTTTTGTTCAAAACTAATCAATTCAAATTTCCAACAACTTCAAATTTCTGAAGCATTACATTGACAGCTTGTATGCAATAGAATAACAAATAGAAGAATGTGTTTATTAATTATATTATTCTACTTTAAGGTGCTGAGGCTCCTGTATACTGTGCACTTTTACCACCTGGCGTAGAGTCTCCTCGAGGAGAGTTTATCTGGAATGACAAAAGAATTGTTCCCTGGCTTCCTTAATTATGTAATTTACTTTGTTCACTACAGGCTTGTTTATTTTAAAAAAATTTCTAAAAAGGAGAACTGTACCTGAGAGATTTTATTGTTTGAAACGGTTCCTGGGTTCACACTGTTTTAAATAGTCCCTTAAAAGGATTCTCGAGAATTACATTTTTTAATTAAGAATTTTTTATATTTTATTGTGTTAGGAGAAACATTTATTTTTATATTGAAAAGAAAAAAATTTATAAGATTTTAATTTACTAACAGAACTATTGTATTTCTTTAACTTAATTTTTATGTCTCGATTTCAATGGCCTTAAGAAGATTGAACAGTCTTTAAAAATGTGTTAATTTTAAATATGGACTAAAAGTGAAATCCCTGTGTTCTAGTATATAAAGTTTATAGGTTCTTCATAAAACCTTTCTATTTTGAGTGCTTATTAAAATTTGTATGATCCAAATAAGTTTGAATAAGTCAAAGAACCTATAAATGGAATTAATGAATTACCTTGTACAAAGAATTGAAATTTATGAGTTACTTCATCTCTATGGGAATCTATAAGTTATTAAAAAAATTGGGATTTATAAAAGACCATGCTTTGTAATAAACAAAAACAAGTCTCCTTTTAAATCAAATTAACTTTAAATTGTTTATCCTAATTTATTTTATTTATTATTCTAATTTAAATAATCTAATTTTTATATAATTTATTTTCTTCTCTGTCACAAAAATAATTTTGAACTGACTTATATAAAGAATGTGTAGCTGGAAATTTTTATAATTTTTTAACTTTCCGTATTACCTTTTTAAACTTAGTAATTTTAAAAATTTTTTATTATTATTCACTCAATTAACTCCTGTCAAAATATTAGCTAGTCATATCTTGAGTGAACAGAAATTATATGATGTAAATTTTTTTTTTTACAAACCGTTTTAAAAATGATTTTAAACTAAGATCATACTTCAATTATCGTAAAAAATTAACTCATTGTGAAAAAAGTGCTACGATATACTTAACTAGGATTCAAAACTCACTCATTATTTTTAAATAAAACATTAGGAACGAATGGAAATGAAATAACAAGCTGTACAGAAAAAGTTTGTAGACTAAAATTTTCTTGTAAAGAATTAAAACATTTAACTTAATAAAAATTTAGACAAAATTATGTTAGCATTGAAAATTATAAAAAAAAAGTTGATTTATTTCAGCAAATTTTGTTATTGTGTCAATTATATCTAAAGTAATTATTCTTTAGTTTAATAAGTAGTATCAGTTTGTTAAAAAAAATTAAAAAACAAAGTGTGCAAATAATATATATATTTACAAAGATTATGTGGGATATTTTTAAAATGCAATGGTCGCGGCAGGTATGAAATAAGGTACAGAATACTGGGTTATTTTTATGAACAAAAACAAAAAAATCTCTTTAATTATAGTTAAATTGTAACTCTCTTTCATATATTAATGTTTTAGTGTAAGAAAATGTCATTTCTCTTCATATGTTTAATGTATTGAGAAGTGTTTCTACATGGTCAGTATATGTTAAAAATGGTCCCCTTTTTTTAAGCAAAATCTGGGAAGTCCCTTTTTAAAAAAAAAGAAATAGTGACTGCTACCCCTGAAAATGCTCACTCCCAGTTTAATTTAATTAAGTTAAAGCAAATTTCTTAGTTATGGAAATATAATTTGATGATTATTTCCTGCATATAAACATCTTACATCCTTAATTTTTTTAAAAAAATTCCTGAAATCATTTGTTTTGAACACATTTTGGTTAAAAAAAAAATAAAAAGTTTCATAAAAACAAAAAATGTATACCTTTGCATTTTCAATTTCAATGTTATAACTTTTATAGTTTTTCGAAAAATTATTTAAAATCTGAAGAACAATGTTAATTTTTTCTTTTTTAAGGTATGTATTTTTTTTTTAATTATGTTTTAACTATAAAGTTGGGGTTGTTCAAAATCCCTATTTTTACTCTGGATTTAAAGTTGTGAACCATTAGCTTATATTTTACACCAATAATATCTCAAATTTAAAACTTTTTTTTTTAAAAAATCTGTTCATTGAGTCCAGTTTGTGTTATTAAATTTATGATTTAATTTATATGGCGGAGGTTGTTCTCCATCAGTGGCCACCAATATTTGTATAGTGGAAGATATCTTGGTCGTACAAAATTACATCTTTATTATGAAAAAACAAAAAATGATAATGTCCAGGAAACAATATATAAATCGTTTAAAAATCTAATTTATTAAACAATAATTTGTGAAGATTATAGAGAATGGCCATCAATATAACAAATTATCAAAAATAAATCCTTTAAAGGGATCCAGAAAATATAACTTCCACATTAAGAAGTTTTGTTAGCATTCCGTTACGATTGCATTTTTTAAAACCGTTAGGAGAGCTGGGACAGGAGCGTCCAAAGGGCACTCCAAGTCACCACAAATTTTGAATTAATAGTCAATACAATTGTTCCTAACGAACACAGAAAGTATGGGTAGGAGATCCAAAATTGGCGAATTATCAAAATATAACATAGCCAACCAGCATATCAATATTGGATTTAAAAGAACACCTTGACGATCACGAGTCGCCAGCAAATTTATGAGAATTATTACAACCATGCAACCGAAACATTTAGCCGTTAGAAATTTGGAATAAAAAGTTATAAATAGATTTTTGTTTTCGTTTAGAGGCGACAGTGAATTAATTAATAAGTCTGCATTAGTAATGAAATAAAAAGTATCCATTACATTGATCTATAAGAGAAGAATAAATATTTTAGGTTCGTTTTAAAAGATTAAGTCATTGATTTATTTTAAATATAATTCTATTAATAAAAATGAGCTTAAGTAATGAAAGATATTTTAAAAGGATAGAAAATAAATATGTAATGCCAATTGTGGCATCACTATTTATATAGCTTTTTTTTGTTTTAGCTACTATGGCAAATACTTCGATGAGCTATGAAGAATTGAAGATAATTCTGCAAAATAATTACATGAAATGAAAATTGTATTAATTATCTATTATTAATTATCTTTTACTTTCACTTATACCATACCAAATGAGATTGTAATATTTGTTTTACGTTTTTATATTTATATATATATATATTTTTTTTAAATAAATTTATGTTGAAAGTTAACTTTGTTGCAGTTTTATTTACACTATTTAAAGAAATCAACAACTCTCAAAAAGTCTTTAGGATCCATTTTTCCTACTATACGTAAGTAAATGATGGAAAAAATGAAAGATATTGGATAAATTTTTTAGTTATTTTAAATAATTATATTGTCAAACTTGTGGGAAACTTTTTTAATTTATTTTATGTTAGATACATTAAACCCAGTTACATTTTTTCTATAAAAATTATTAGTTAATGATTTTAAAAAACTTGTCTTAATGAAAATTGGGGAACAAGTCTTATAAAGCAGATTAAAATATGCTCCCAGAGTTTATTTAAGAAAGTAGCAATTAAGTTAGTATACTTAAAGTTAAGTTAATATTTTACTAATTTGCAAATTTAAAAAAATATTGTAGAAATTCTCAGCATTTTGTCATATAAATTTGGTAAACTTACAATAGCCAGGGAAATTTCACCTGGAATCTGTATCTGATTTTTATAATTATTTTACTTAATTCACGTAACTATATTATATTCTGATAACTATATTATGTCTGATAAGCATAGAAAACATGAAAAGCAAATAGAAAATATCTAATAATTACTACATTATTTCATGTCAATTGTGTGTTTTTACTGAAAATGAAATATTTAATTTCCAGAAATAAAATTTTTTTTAAGGATTAGAAATATTTATCATTAGAAATATTTATAACCCATGTTTTGCTCATTTTACACCAGAAGTAATTTACACAGTACTTGAATTGTAAGAAATTTGTTAGATTACTTTCATTGATTATTGTAATGGTAAATTATTTCAGGCATAAAAGTTTAATTTTTCTAAGTAGTAATTAACTATAATTTTTAAGTTATTGAAGGAATAGGCAGTTTTATTAATAAATTAAAAACATCTAAAAATGAATTTAAAATATACTGTTAAACTATAAAGATAAATTTCAAAGTTATGTATTAAGAAATTATAAATTAAAACTTGATTTAAAATGAATTGAATTTGCTTAAATTCAAATACTACTATGCTAAAAACGGAACTTTTTTTAGTTATCCTTTAATCTTACTATTCCCGCCTGTTGTAAAGGGATAATACACCATCTGAGCAAAAGTATCCGGACACCTGGTTGTTATGGTGGTGGAACCATAATGGAGTGGGGGTGTTTCTCGTGGTTTGGACTATGTCCTTTTGTTCCTGTGGTTGGAAACATGAACTCGGAGATGTATGTGGACAATGCAGCACTCTCAACTCTTTGTCAATATTTCGGGGAAGACCCATTTCTCTTCCAGCAGAATATTCCATTCACTCATCAAGGCTTGCACAGTCATGGTTTGACGAAATAGGGGTTCAAAAACTGGACTGGTCTTCTTAGAGCCCCGATCTAAATCCCATATAACACCTCTGGGAGAAATTAGAGCGCAGAGACGTGGACAGCCATCCTCACTCCAGTTGTGATGGAGGTCAATTTCTATGGCCACAGGCCACCTATCAAAAACTGGTGGAAAGTCTTCAGAGACGTGTGCAGGCTATCATCGATGCAAAAGAGGGACCAACGTCATATTAATATGTGCCTCGGGATGCTCTGAGTCCATACCAATGGGTGTCCGGATACTTTTGATCCGATAGTGTATAATCAATATACATTTGATACTATTCTAAGCTAACATTGATTTTTAGTCAGTTTATCTTAAATTTTTTAGAAAAATAAATGCACGACATATTCTTAGAAATATTGCTTTGCTCTTAAAAAACGTTTGTTTAATGTGACAGTAAATGAAAGAGAATCTTGAGGTAAAAGAGGATTTACCTAAAATTCAAATTATTTTACACTTTTATAAGAATTCATAGGTCTCTGGGAAAATTTAGAAAGAAAAAAAATTGTTTAATCAATAATGAATGGTTTAAACAATATTGCACCTGGACAAAAATAAGATGACAGCAGGACAAAGTAAGCGTACGCGGGGCCCTTAGATTTTTTTTCTCGTATATTTTTATTTATATAATAATACTTATAAATAATAACTAAAATAAGTAATAAATAAATATGATTAACATTATGTAAAAAAAAATTTGTATTTTAATAATATATATATGAAATTGATTTTTAAAAAAAATCATTGTTCTTAATTTTTTTTTTTTTTCTTCAAAAAATCCATTTTAAGGGAGCCCCAGGTCATGGCCTAGTCTGGCCTAATGGTTATCCAGCACTGGATGACACCATCCACAAAGAAATAAATAATCACTGAAAGTAATAGAACTTTATTTACGTCGCTTTAGAGTTGCACAATGGGTAACCGGTGACAATCTGGGAAACATTCCTGAGAATGATCCAAAGACACTCCATTACAATTTCGATTACTTGCGTAGGAGATGGCTTGTCAGCTGTGCTAGCCCTTACCCCGATTACCTGCGCAGGAAATAAAGCATATTATTAAGGAATAATTTTACGAGGACCGATACCACGCATCCTCAGTCTCTTCGCTAGCTGTCCGGCAGTGGACTGATCATTAAGACACGGTTCCCAGCAGATCACCGAAGTCAAGCATCACTGGTTGCGGGTATGTGACCACTTGGATGAGTCTGCGTAGGGGCCGAGGGTGAGCTGCGTTGGTTCTCGTTAAACTGTTCTACCGTAAAGTGCTCGACTTCGCGTGCAGGTCGTCGGACTACCGAAGCAGGGGTGCCATCCCCTCTGCAGAGGATCAAAATTGTGATGGCATGTCTTCGGATCATCCTCAGGGATGTTTCCCAGACCGTCGCCAATAGCGCATCCTCAGTCTCTTCGCTAGCTGATCAAAGTGATCATCCACGAGCTTAATGACTGCTGGTGACAGTAGGGAGACATGTCTTATATATTAGTGAATTAGAATTGAATAATCGTAGCTGTAGGCACTATTTAATTAAACAGATATATGTAATCTTCTTCAGATAATAAGATGTCCTTGACTGTATTGCATTAGTAAAACCTAACGTAACTCTTAAAGAATGAAGGTTACAAGCGCACTCAACACGCTGATTGTTTTCGATATCCCGTTTTTCAATCATTCCGTTCGTTCGAATTTTTCAGTTTTGAAATATAATTGTAGTTTAGTAATGAAGAAAAGTTACGCCTTTTAAACTTTTTCTACTGTACGACCGGTGGACTTTGGTCTGAAGGCAGTCTGTCTGCTAAATTTTTTGACTGAATTTTGTGGTGTGAATTTTGAATTAAATTTCAGAGAAAATGGCCCGAAGAGTTGCTGTTGTACGCATAATTTCTTTGTTTTTATCTCTTTATATTTCTGCGAAGAAGTAATATTTATTAACAATTATTTTTTTTTTGTAATTACTATCTGAAATTTGTTTCCTTATTCCTTCAAAAAATTTCTTCAATTTCCCCCCTTTAGTTTTGTATATTCTTTTCTTTTAATTTTATTTATAGTATTGTCTTAATTTTCAGGTGACTGGAGGTAATAAAGGTATTGGAAAGGCTATTGTACGAGCTTTGTGTTCTAAATTTGATGGTGATGTTATTCTCACTGGTAAACATTTTTATTTGTTTATTTTCGTTATTTACAAGTGGTATTCATAACACTGCATTTTATTGTTTTATTCAATTTGGGGGATTATTAAAGTCATATGGTATTAATATAATCCAGTGTTTCCCAAACTAATGACTTTTTTGTACCCTTTATTAATAATTTTATTCAATTATTAAAGACATAGGGTATTCCTATATTTAATAAAATAAAATCTTTATCTTTAGATAAAAATTTTGACCATATATAAAACTTTGCTTCAGTTATATTCTTAAGAGCCAAAACATTCAAAATTTTTTTCCATTGTTCTGTTTTACACTGGCTACAGTTGATACAAGAAGTATATAAATATTATGGGTGCATAAACATTCTTTGTAAGTAAAACACTTTTAAAATAGTCTTCTAACCGCTTTTTATACTGTTGGATATTTCTTTAAGCATTTTACATCATAACAATGATTACTGGAGAGAAAAAAAATGTGTTAATGAAGTAGTTAGTTGTGTTATCACAAACTGCTTATAGAATTTAGTTATATTTCTGAATTTATATATTATATTATTTTAGCTCGTGATGAATCCAGAGGCTTGGCAGCTGTAAAAGATCTTGAAAAAGAGGGTCTCCATCCCAAATTTCATATTTTAGACATCACAAAGAAAGAAACAATCAAAACGCTAGCCTCATATTTAAAGGATCATTATGGTGGTTTAGATGTTCTAGTAAACAATGCAGCAATTGCATATAAGGTCAGAACAGATTTCTTAGAACAAATTTCAATCAAAACAGAGCAATTGCATATAATTGCTCTGTTTTGATTGAAATCTGTTCTAAGACTTGGTCATGTTACATAAATTTTGTTTAGTACATAAACATCTATTTTCTAAAGTAAAAGACATTTTAATGTGCAAACAAAACATGTATTTTTGTCTTAAGTCAATTACTCAATTTAAGTATAAATTATGGTTTATAAATAATAATTCTGATGAAATTCTTTGTATTAGCCATAATACAATATGGCCAGTTAAAGTGTTATTTAATTTTGCAGAATATTGGACTATCAGTGCATTATTTTTGTATTTTTCAATAGCATTTTTATTTGATGATAATCAATTTTATAATTTCTTTTTTTTTACAATTGTGTCGGCTTAAAATTAAATCTATGTTTATTTTTTCGTTATGAAAGCCAAAAATTACATTTTTTTCCTAATTAACTTTTTATTTTGGTACCTTTTGTATTATTTCACAATTGATTTTAATATTGTTTTTATAAGTTGTAACATATTCCTGATTATAAAATTTGTTTAAATACTTCAGTATTGTCACTCTTCTAAAGTTTTTCAAAATTTTACTGTTAAGAAAAAGCTTGTTAGTTGCATTTTAAATCTGGTATTTATTTTTTTAATGGGAATATTTTTAAAATGCAAAATAAATGGGAGGAAAAAATTTATTTGTGTATAGGATCTTATAGTCTGAATATCAACTCCAAATTAGTTTT